AAAGATAAAATTCTTACGATCAGATCGTGGAGGAGAATACTTAAGTCACGAATTTGGTACACACTTAAAGAAATGTGGAATCGTTTCACAGCTCACGCCGCCTGGAACACCTCAGCGAAACGGTGTGTCCGAACGTAGTAATCGCACTCTATTGGATATGGTGCGGTCTATGATGTCTCTTACCGATTTACCGCTATCATTTTGGGGATACGCTCTAGAGACAGCTACATTCACTTTAAATAGGGCACCGTCTAAATCCGTTGAGACGACACCGTATGAATTATGGTTTGGAAAGAAACCTAAGCTGTCGTTTCTAAAAGTTTGGGGATGCGAAGCTTATGTCAAGAAACTTCAACCTGAAAAGCTCGAACCCAAGTCGGAAAAATGTGTATTCATAGGATACCCTAAGGAAACTATAGGGTATACCTTCTACTTAAGATCCGAAGGCAAGATCTTTGTTGCCAAGAACGGATGCTTTCTGGAAAAAGAGTTTCTCTCGAAAGAAGTAAGTGGGAGAAAAGTAGAACTCGATGAAGTACTACCTCTTGAGCGGGATAGTGACGCAGCACAGGAAACCGTTCCTGTGATGCCCACACCAACTGAAGAGGAAAACCATGATAATGATCAAAGTACTTCGGATCAAGTTACTGCTGAACTTCGTAGGTCCACAAGGACACGTTCCGCACCAGAGTGGTACGGCAACCCTGTCCTGGAAATCATGTTGTTAGACAACAATGAACCTTCGAACTATGAAGAAGCAATGGCGGGCCCGGATTCCAACAAATAGCTTGAAGCCATGAAATCCGAGATAGAATCCATGTATGAAAAGAAAGTATGGACTTTGACAGACTTGCCCGATGATCGGCGAGCGATAGAAAACAAATGGATCTTTAAGAAGAAGACGGACGCGGATGGTAATGTTACCATCTATAAAGCTCGACTTGTCGCTAAGGGTTATCGACAGGTTCAAGGGATTGACTACGACGAGACATTCTCTCCCGTAGCGAAGCTAAAGTCCGTCCGAATCATGTTAGCAATTGTCGCATACTATGATTATGAGATATGGCAGATGGACGTCAAAACAGCATTCCTTAACGGGCATCTTAAGGAAGAACTGTATATGATGCAGCCGGAAGGTTTTGTCGATCCTCGGAACGCTAACAAAGTATGCAAGCTCCAGCGATCCATTTATGGACTGGCGCAAGCATCTCGGAGTTGGAACATTCGCTTTGATGAGATGATCAAAGCGTTTGGGTTTATGCAGACTTATGGAGAAGCCTGCGTTTACAAGAAAGTGAGTGGGAGCTCTGTAGCATTTCTCATATTATATGTAGATGACATACTCCTGATGGGAAATAATATAGAATTTCTGGACAGCATTAAGGCCTACTTGAATAAGTGTTTTTCAATGAAGGACCTTGGAGAAGCTGCTTATATATTAGGCATCAAGATCTATAGAGATAGATCGAGACGCCTCATAGGTCTTTCACAAAGCACATACCTTGATAAGATTTTGAAGAGATTCAGAATGGATCAGTCCAAGAAGGGGTTCTTGCCTATGTTACAAGGTATGAGACTGAGCTCAGCTCAGTCACCGACCACGGCAAAAGATAAAGAAGAGATGAGTGTCATCCCCTATGCTTCAGCCATAGGATCTATTATGTATGCCATGCTGTGTACCATAATCGTAATACACGTGTGAATACTTAGACCACACTATGTCCCTGGTAAGCCTCTAGTTGACCAGCTCGTTGTGATCAACAGATAGTCATGGTTTCCTGACTATGGACATTGGATGTCGTTGATAACGGGATCACATCATTAGGAGAATGATGTGATGGACAAGACCCAATCCTAAGCATAGCATAAAAGATCGTGTAGTTCGTTTTGCTAGAGCTTTGCAAGTGTCAAGTATCTCTTCCTTCGACCATGAGATCGTGTAACTCCCGGATACCGTAAGAGTGCCTTGGGTGTATCAAACGTCACAACGTAACTGGGTGACTATAAAGGTGCATTACAGGTATCTCCGAAAGTAGCTGTTGGGTTGACACGGATCGAGACTGGGATTTGTCACTCCGTATGACGGAGAGGTATCTCTGGGCCCACTCGGTAATGCATCATCATATTGAGCTCAATGTGACCAAGGTGTTGGACACGGGATCATGCATTACGGCACGAGTAAAGTGACTTGCCGGTAACGAGACTGAACAAGGTATTGGGATACCGACGATCGAGTCTCGGGCAAGTAACGTACCGATTGACAAAGGGAATTGCATACAGGGTTTGATCGAATCCTCGACATAGTGGTTCATCCGATGACAACATCGAGGAGCATGTGGGAGCCATCATGGGTATCCAGATCCCGCTGATGGTTATTGACTGAGAGCGTCTCGGTCATGTCTGCATGTCTCCCGAACCCGTAGGGTCTACACACTTAAGGTTCGGTGACGCTAGGGTTATGAAGATATGTATATGCAGAAACCCGAATGTTGTTCGGAGTCCCGGATGAGATCCCGGACGTCACGAGGAGTTCCGGAATGGTCCGGAGGTAAAGAATTATATATAGGAAGTGCTATTTCGGGCATCAGGACAAGTTTCGGGGTTATCGGTATTGTACCGGGACCACCGGAAGGGTCCCGGGGGTCCACCGGATGGGGCCACCTGTCCCGGGGGGCCACATGGGCTGTAGGGGGTGCGCCTTGGCCATCATGGGCCAAGGGCACCAGCCCCTATAGGCCCATGCGCCTAGGGTTTCCCCCTAGGAGGAGTCCTAGTGGTGGAAGGCACCCCTAGGTGCCTTGGGGGGGAGGGAAACCTCCCCTAGGCCGCCGCCCCCCCTAGTAGATCTCATCTACTAGGGCCGGCGCCCCCCCCCTTGGCACCCGTATATATAGTGGGGGAGAGGAGGGACTTCACACACCAGCCCCTGGCGCCTCCACCTCCCCCCGTTACGTCTCTCCCTCGTAGTCTCGGCGAAGCCCTGCTGCTGTGACGCCCTGCATCCACCACCACGCCGTCGTGCTGCTGGATCTTCATCAACCTCTCCTTCCCCCTTGCTGGATCAAGAAGGAGGAGACGTCTCCCGTCCCGTACGTGTGTTGAACGCGGAGGTGCCGTCCGTTCGGCGCTGGTCATCGGTGATTTGGATCACGTCGAGTACGACTACATCATCACCTTGCAAGCTTCCGCACGCGATCTACAAGTGGTATGTAGATGCAAACTCTCTCCCTAGACTCGTTGCTTAGATGAACTCATAGATGGATCTTGGTGAAACCGTAGGAAAATTTTTAATTTTCTGCAACGTTCCCCAACACAGAGCACCTCAGAATACGCAGAATCAATTGCATCTCCAGCCGTTCTGCCGGCTTGGGTGGATGCATGCTAGGCTCATCAATAAGAGTTGTTCGGTGTCGGTGTTGTTGCACAGACTAGCGAGCCATGGGTTCGCAGCCTCCAGGATACTCCCCTTCCTGCAGTGCTAAGTGTCCGCACCACAACCTCCTCGATCACATTGGTAATGCAACACCTAAGGATTAATATGCTTGTGCAAGTTGTCGTTCGACATCGGCCTGTACACCAGCATCAATACATCTCAGTGGTGGTGCCATCTCTTGGTGGTCATGAGCATAAGCACTTCTAGTTCAAATAACCATACATTATACACACAATGGCTATTCTCGACGTTATGTTTGCTTGAACACAGTAGGTGTTTGTGCTACCTTTTCAGCTAACAAAAAAATATTTTCTAGCAATAACATTCATAAGAGAAATGGCTAGCTTTCTTGTATTAGCTCACTAAGAAAAGGAGCAAATTGTGGTGGAGGAGGAACATAGCAGTAAGAACATAACTCACTTTCTGTTAATAGTAACTTACTTTACTTGCATAGGATTACTTCGTACTTGAGGTATTTGAACATCTCAATAGAGCACTATTAACTGCATTACAACTTCTCGTATAAATTCCAGAAGAATTGAGGGGACTACGAGACACGGTTGAACTACGTGTAAGCCTAAGTTTGCCACTCATCAGCCCTGTCCTTCTTCGTATCGTTTCATGGAAGAAGAAAAAAATCAATTTTTGTTTTCTATGTTTTTATTACTATTTTATCAGGATTTAATTATCACCTTTCCCTAGACAAATGCGTGAATGCTTTTATTATATTCATTAACACCATTTGGAACATGCGACCCAATTTTTCAGAACATGAACAACTCTTTTACATATATATATGAACTTTTTTTATTTTTACTACTGTACTACTATCTAACTCGGGGTAGACTCGCCCTTAGCAGGCCAACGAACTGGGGTCGACATGATGCGGCCCAGTTGGGTTTTTCCGGCCCATTTGGATGCCGTCTCCTTCGTCTCGCCGCTCGCAAGTTCCTCAGTCTCCATCCACTCTTCTCTGGAAAAAAAATATCTCAGTTTCGTCCCCGCCTGAACCCTAGCTAGCGCGGCGGCGGAGGATGGTGGCGAAGAAGCCGGCCGTGGCGGCGGCGGCAGCCGGCCCGGAGGCGGAGGAGCGGAGGCGCCTGCGGTCGCTGGCCTTCTCCAAGGGCCTGCTGCAGCGCGGCGAGCCGGCGGCGCCGCGGGCGGCGCTCCCGCCGTCCGGCGCCGTGGTGCGGTTGCAGGGGCGCGACATCGTGCGGCCGCGGGGCCAGCGCAGGGGCCGCTTCCTCTTCTCCTTCCCCGGCCTCCTCGCGCCCGCCGCCGGCGCCGGCGGCCGCGTCGGGGAGCTCGCCGACCTCGGCACCAAGAACCCCGTCCTATACCTCGAGTTCCCGCAGGTGCCCCCAAATGCCATCCGTCCGTCGAAATCTGTAGCTTTTTCCACGGATTTTGTGATGCAAGCTTGGATCTTTGTCTCGGCCGGTCGGTCTGTCGGTCGCAGGGGAGGATGAAGCTGCTGGGCACGCACGTGTACCCCAAGAACAAGTACCTCACGCTGCAGATGACCAGGTCCGCCAAGGGCGTCGCCTGCGAGGACGTCTTCGAGAGCATGGTCAGTTGTTCATGCCCAATTGTTTAGCTCAAGTACTCCAATTTGGTTGCCCAAGGGTACTGAAATTGTCTATCTTTTCGCAGATTGTGTTTTCCGAAGCGTGGTGGGTCGGGACCAAGGAAGAGAACCCCGACGAGCTCAAACTCGAGTTTCCAAAAGAGATGCAGAATGTATGCGTGCAGTGTGCTCTGTGCATATGTAATTTTCTGCCTATGTTTTTTGCTCCCCTCTGATGCAATTGTGTCTGCTTCATCGTGTTGCTAGGCTGCGGAAGATGTTGATTTTAAAGGCGGAGCAGGCGCTGCCAGTGGCGAGGTAGTGACAGTAAATAAACCCAGGAAGCGGACCACTGAGCCCCGTACAGCAGAGCCTCGTACAGCAGAGCCCAGTACACCAGAGTTTGAATCCGATGCTGATTCGGAGGATTTGGATGTTAAGGATGAGATTGGCACGCAGACTACGAGTGATACACCTGTTAGGAAATCTGCCAGAACTGCTGGGAAAACCTTCAAGTAAGTCTCTTCCAGCCTTTGCTGTTGGTTTTGGCGAGCGACCAAAATGTGCTAGCTCTAGCTTGCTTAATTACCGGGAAATAGACTCCTGCAAGCATTTGTTTGCTCCCATTCTATAGCTTTTCTATGATCTATGTTTTTCTTTCCTGCAAGGTATAGTACTTAATAAATTATTTGGCTATTTATACAGGTTCGCAGAGCTCGCTGGAGGAGATTCGGCTGAAAGTGACACTGAGATTGAGTTTGCTGAGGACTTGGATGAGAAGGTAACAGTGCAAATCTTTCTTTTGTTGATTGAGGACTTCCGTACTTATTATGCTTTCTACATTTGCGGCAGATGGAGGCTGCAGAAATTAAGGAAGAAATCCCAGGTGAAGACATTAAGGAAGAAATCCCAAGTGAAAACATTAAACCTGAAGATCCTCCAGCAGAGTCTCTTTCTACCAAGAAGCAACCACTTGTTCAGGCTAATTTGTCTGCCATGTTTAAAAAAGCAGAAGAAAAAAAGGTGAAAGTGCAAAGCCTCTTAGATTTGTAGTTTTCTTTTGCTAAAAAGGTGATCTTTGTTTGGATCTACAAAGGTGACCTCTAGTTGTAAATATTGTATCCCCTCTCTTTTGGTTAGCATTATCTATTTGGTTGTCTTAATATCAAGAAATTAAAACTCGGCATGTGACAATTGTTTATTTATTTCAGAGACCTACAACTACGAGAAGTCCTAAAGGATCTCCAGCTACAAAAGGTTCTTCATACTCTACGTTCCTAGGTTCCTGAAAATTTATTGTATTTCATAAGAAAACTCCAATTTTTGTTACTGTCTTGTAGGTCCTGCTGCTAAGAAGCAGCGAGCAACTCCAACGAAAAAACAGTCACCAGCGAAGAAGGAAGGTAACTACTGTACCAAAAGCAAATCTGTTGTTACAAACCTCTTATATTACAAGTTTTAGTGTAAGAATTTGGTCTAAGCTTCCAAGGCCATTCTCAGTGGAAAATATTACTCCCTCCGTCCCATAATATAAGAGCGTTTTTGACACTACATTAACGTAAAAAATGCTCTTATATTATGGGACGGAGGGAGTAGGTCTCAGTATCTCAGACAAGCTAAAGGCTCCATAGAGAGTAAATTTGAAACATGAAGCTATTTGATGAACTATTTTAGGTTCTAAAGTGTGACGCTCATTGCCTGTTACTCAATAACTCTGGCATAAAAAAGTATTATAATGGGTTGCTTTCTTTTAAAGTTTTATATGAAAGAAAGTAACCTTGTAAATTTGAAAGACCATTTAATATGATTTTTTGAAAGATAGAATTGATTCTTTGGATGGATACATTTGTTAGTGGTGTCAAGGCTGGGGAGAGAAGGCTCTTAAATGCAGTACCAAATCAAGTCTGTTACCAGAAACATCTTACATTACAATTGTTAGTGTGATACTTTGGTCTAACTTCTGAAGGCCATTCTTGGTGGAAAAGGTTAGGTCTCAGATAAGCCCAAGGCTCTATATACAGGAACTTTAAAACTTGAAACTATTTGATGAACCATTTTGTGCTTCTAGAGTCATTCATTCATTGCCTGTCAAGTCAGAACTCTGAATATGTTGGAATTAAAGTGGATTGCTGTGCTTTTATACAAATGAAGCAAACTGGTAAATCTGAAAGACTTGCGGTTTATTCTTATGGTGAAATTTTTAGAAGATGGAATCATTTTTTTGGCAGTAGAGGCTTGTTTAGGATACTTTCATTAGTGGTGACAAGGGCTGGGGGAGAAGGTACTTCTTGTGACAGGTGCTATCAGTTCAGTTACTCTTTTATAGAACTCATTCGTGGGTAAACTGGTCTAGGATTCTTCGCTAGCGGCCCCAGGGCTTGAGGAAGAATTCACTTTAGTGGCTTTTAGGGGTCTGTGAGATGATCTATTCTTTTGTCAGCATAACTCTTGCTTTCAGTTTTCCCGTTGATAATTTCAGTATTCATGGCATAAGACTGACTCTTGTATATCTCATAAATGTAGCAAGCGGATCCCTCAAGAAGCAAAAAGCAAAGGTACTTTTCGGAACTCTAATATTGGTTAAGATACATTGACGACAATCAGCAGGGACTTTTATTAATTTAAAATGCCGCTCATTGTTCTCTCTGCTTAATGCATACCTATGAAACTGAAGGCCTTCCGTCTTTCCATTTGGTGTCACAGGTAGACGAAGATGAAATCGAAGTGCTCTCAGATGGTTCCTCTCAGGTGACTTAATTAGCTGTGATGCTGCAAAAAATCGTCCCATCGGTATTAGTTCTAGAGGAAATGACATGCCACCATGGATTACGAGTCGAAGGACTAGATAGACTAGTCTATGAGTCACAACTCCAGGGCTGACTACACTCCAGTGTCGACTAGTCTATGAGTCGCAACTTCAGTGGCGACTTATCACGATTAGTCATGATTAGTCTATGAGTCTCAACCTCGGAACGACTCGTCATTCGTAAACCTTGCATTTCACCCATAGGCACATGATTGAAAAGGCAGCTGATGGTCGTAGCACGCCCGTTATTTGGCTCAATCTTTATGCGTTGCCCTTTTTGTTATGAAGATGTTATTTGCGCCTCCTGGCCTACATAACCAATCACAATGGCATTACAGGATGACGATGCAGGTCCTGCTGCTAAGAAGCAGCGAGGAACTCCAAAGGGACAACAGTCAGCAGCGAAGAAGGAAGGTAAGAACAAGTCTGTTGTTAGAAGCATCTTATATTACAAGCTTTAGTGTAATAATTTATCCTAAGCTTCTAAGTCCAATCTCGGGTGAAAAAATTAGGTCTCAGACAAGCCAAAGGCTCTATAGAGTTGATTTGAAAGATGGAACTATTTGTTGAACTATTTTGGATTCTAAAATCTGTCGCTCAATGCCTGTTACGCCATAACTCTGAATAAACAATAGAATTAAAACGGATTGCTTTACGTTTGTATCAACAAAGGTAACTGGTATATTTGACTTTAAAAAAATGAAGATAGAGTTGACTATTGAATGGATACATTTGTTAGTGCTGCATCAGGCTGGACGGAGCGAGCGGGCTTTTCGGCACTGCAATGAACGAAATAGAAGGCACTTAAATACAGTACCAAACCGAGTCTGTTTTTATCTTATAATACAAACTTTACTGTGAGAATTTGGTCTAACCTTTTGTGGGCCATTCTTGCTGGAGAAGATTAGGCCTGAAACAAGCCAAAAGCTCTCCATGGAGGAGCTCTAAATCCTGAAGTTATTTGTTGAACCATTTGGGCTTCTAATGACGTTCATTGCGTGTTAAGTCAGAACTGGAACATGCCAAAGGCTCTGTATTGAGAAGCTCTAAAACTTGAAGCTATTTGTCGAACCATATTGGGTTTCTAATGTCTGACACTCATTGTGTGGTAAGTCAGCACCGAGAATATGTTAGAACTAAAATGGATCAGTGTGCTTTTTTATATTGATGAAGTATACTGCTAAATACGGAACACTTGTGGTGTTCCTATAAGATACTTTTTTTTTTTAAATATGGAGCCTTTTGTTACTTCTATTTTTGGGCCAACACATGGGGAAGAAGCCTCTTCCATGTTGTGATAGGTGCTATCAGTTCAGTTACCCTTTTATTAAAGAGTTTTATGGGTAAAGCTTGTTCACTAGCGGTGCCAGGGCTTGGGGAAGAAGTCATTTTAGTGGTGTGTCAGAGACGATATATATTCGCTTTGTCAGCATACCTCTTGCTCTCAGCTTTCCTTTGGAAATTGTATTACTGGTAATATTCCTGGTGTATGACTGACTGACTGACTGACTGACTCTTTTTATATATTATTACATGAAAAATGTAGCAAGCGGATCCCAGAAAAAGAAGAAGGCGAAGGTACTACTTTTTGGAACTTTTAACATATTTTGTGTGTGCTGAAATGTGTGCGCGTACCTGTGAAGCTGAAGGAGTTGCATTTCCGTTTTGTGTCACAGGTAGACGAGGAGCTCTCTGATGAATCCTATCAGGTAACTAGTAACTGACTCTTGTCGGCCTCTGCTCTAGAGGAAATTACATGTGTGACGCATAAGGCAGATGATGGGAAGGGCATCTGCTTGTCGCGTATCTGCCCCCAGTTTTATGTTTTGTGTGTGTGTTTGTTTGCTACATCAAGTTAGTGTGCCTCCCGACGTATGTACCTAATCGCAGCGGCATTACAGGATGACGACATGGGCGAGGAGGATGATGATGACAGCGACGACGACTGGGCCGGGTAAGGGGAGCGACAAGGAGTGCCCAGATCTGACATGCCGTGAAAAGGGCGGATCGGGGATGAGCGACCCTCCCTCCCTCACTGGCGTGCGTAGTAGAGCGAGTGTGTGTGCTCTTTTTAGCTGATCAATGTGAAACAATGCTTGTTTGTTGATGTACAAGTTGTTCTAGAGCATCTCAGGAATCCGATCCCGACCCACGCGGTTTGTAATAGGAGTAGAAATTGCGAGATATAATTCGCTAGACGTGTTTGTTTGTTGTGATAACAGGAGCAGAAATCGTTGTGAGGTTGTGCCCTTTTACTCGGTTTTGGGTGGGGATAAGGTTCAGCGATGCTTATGCTAGGCTCTGCTTGGCTGGCGGCATTGAGGAATAAGTTGCCAGTATGCATGGTGCATTGTTGGTCCGCGGCCTCCTCTTTTGTGCTACCATTGACATAATAAAATGTTCTTTCTGTGTGGAAGCTAGCCGCACGCTGGGTCACGTTTAGAGCAAGTATAATAAAATGACATAAACTGGGGTGTAAGGGTGACATATACGAGTGACATAAATGGGTTGTAAGAGTTGCCACGTCACGCGAACCAACCTGTGGTTGGATGATTAGAGGGACTGTGGTATCCCCACCTCATCAGGGTTAGGGTGAGTTGGATAAAAAGGAAGATAAAGAAGCCTTATGCCCAGCTGCAGTATGAGGGTCACGGAGATGTCCAAAGGTAATTGTGGCATGATCGTGGTGGACTTGCTCTTGTTATCCGTGACCATGTGTAGTAAAATAATCCATGAGGTGATATTGAAGTCGATCCACACAAATGTAAGATATCATCATCTCATCGTTGAGCCGGAAAAACAAGGAAGCAAGGGAGGTGTCGTAGAGGAGTGAACGCCATTGACGTCAAAATTAACATGGTTATAGCCGAGGTCGTAGTCTTGTTTAACATTGTCTCACTCTAGTAGCGGAGCCATGACTTGAAGGGGAACAAATTAGTAGGGAAGGAGCGAGAAATACCTAGTTGAAACACTTGTTAGGCGGAGCAAAAATTAAGGGGGGAGGGGAGGGGGGCATTTGCCCCCTGTTGGTCCACACTATGATCCACCACTGTCATAAGGAGTGGTGTCTTTCTAACAGCTTCGATTGCGTTGCTAATGCATGGATTAGAGGGTGACACCACGAGACTTTGATGGATGGAGCTTGTGATCATGCATGCATGGGTGAGGGGCGATCAACTTTTAGAGCGTGTGTAACTCACTGCATCTGTATTACATGGGTTCAGTTTGCGTTAGTAGTAGAGGAGCTGGTTAATTAGCTTTAGGCCATGAACTGACTAGACATGTTGTAATACTAGCTAGTAGGAGTGTTCGGAGTAGAGGTTGTTGTGAGACAATGTGCAGTTTTCATATGTTTGTGGATGCATGCCTGCCCTTGTTGTTGTCTGTTCTAACCCACAACCAATCACCACGTGTTCGATTGAGATCATGTCTATATTGTGATACGATGTAGAGTGGCTTTTCTGATTAGGGTTTTTGCCGAGCTTTTTATCCTAGCAGATGCTCCTAAAACTGCATGATGTACGGCCAAATTGCTCTTAACGGAAAGAACATGCCGTGTACGTGTGCATGGGACATGCCGTGTAGAGAAGACGGCAAGAAGGCGACTGTGCTGTTTAATCCAAGCTTATTTTTAGGCGTTGAGAAATAATAGACTGCAAAAAAAAAAAAATAGAGAAGATTTGGCTATGCTTTGACGCTTGTTGAATAGGAAGAGGAGCTTGGCATATTCCGTACTCCTGACTGCAAAATCCCACCGTTCGTGCATAGCTAGCTATATCAACCGGCAACTAGATACACTCTTTTCAAAACGTGATGAAAGCCGCCAATCATAGTTTGTTTTTCCTTTCTTTCTGTAGAGGGCACTTTTATTGCCTCATAAATAATGTCGTGTCAGCCTCTGCACGAATAGGATGCACACAGTCAGAACAAACACACACTTATACAAAGAAGAGTTGAACATCTTCCTATGTTAAATCCCTTCCTGCATATACATTTGTGTTTGTGCACGCAACTCAGTTTTTGGTACTTCTCAATAGTAGTACAATACTCGGCTACAAACTCATGTTGCAGCAATCCATAGTCAAACTCTCACCGTTGACTGCTGTCCTAAACGTGGATCCATTCAAGACGGATTGAGGGAGTTTGGCTAAATTAAAATAGATGATGAATCAATGAGGGAACTACTTATCGCACTCTATTGTACATTGCAGACGATTTATATAACATCCTGGCTTAATAAAAATGATAGACTACACATATCAAAACAAGGTGTACCTTATTTTTCAGGAGTCCATCCTTAAGGAACCTCAAAGTTAAGCGTGTTTGGCCTGGAAAAAAAATTAGAAGGTGTGACGGACTAGAAAGTTGTTCCCGAATGGGCACAGTGAGAACAAAGTGCACATGAAAAGACTAGTGTTGGTATGTGAGGTCAGTCTAGATCCAAGACAACGATCAGTAACCGACGGGGTTTGGTCGAAGCGTTACAGATTACCTCTAGGGTGCGTGTTCACTGTGCCAAAGTCACACACCATGTCCCCCCAAAAGTTGCATGTGATGACCTCCATTAGCGCATGTTTTGTTACGGTGTAGTGTTTGCTCTGGCCCATTATCGCACACGTGTACCATTCCTTAACCGAGTGTTCAAGAAGACACGATGCGGTGATGCACATACGATGATCACGACGACCAGGTTAGTGAGGGGCTCACCTAGTCGAAATCCTCAAGCGACTGTGACACGATTTCGACCATCGGCGAAGTTGAGCTCCGAGGGGCTTCTGGGGTCCCGGGAGTTGTCTAGGCGTCGCGCGAGGGAGAATGATGAGGGTGGTGTCATCAACGAGGCGCGGGGGAGTCCTAGCTGCCGGAATTTTGTTGGCCGGAGAGGAGGTGGGTGGTGGGTGCTCAGCATCGCATCCTGGCGGCGATGTAGAGCGGTGGCAGTGGCTTTTTGCAGAGGGCGGCGCTGGCTACTTGTTGGGCGGGTTAGTGTTGCTGGCCGTGCATGGGAGAATGCGAGTGTGCATGATCATTCGCGGCGTGGCCATGGTGGGGGTGCGGGCTTCACGTGGCGGGAGGTTGATGACGGGCAGGTGGAGTCGGACAGTCAGCGTCTCAGCGGGAGGGGAGGGCTACTCTTGGCCGTTGGCTGGACTTTGGCATGCTTCGCTCTAGCTGGACCGGGCCTTAAGTTAGGTTAGTTTTCTCTTGTCTATTGCGTTTTTTTCCTTTTAGAATTTTGATTTGGTCCAAAAATCAAATATGCTCCAAATCATTTAGTAAAAAAACTCAATGGACTTAGGGGAAATAATTTCTAACAAAAATATTAACATAAAAATATGTGACCCAAAATTGGGATATTATAAATATTCCCTGAAAAAACTATTCTAGTGTTTAGTTAAATTCCAAAATTAGTTTAGGGCTCCAAATACAGTTAATTCAAGTTACGGTAGTACTTTCTGGCTAGGCTCAATCAACTACAAAACAAAATTTGAAGTTTTGGGATGTGACATGGATTGAAAATTTTCATCCACCATAGATGCTATCTCTTGCTCCCTCGCTAAATTTTTTCTTTCTAAAACAGAGGGTCCCTCGCTAGTCTTTCCTTTGACATTGAGAAAGGAGGACGGGGAGGCCCGGCCTAGCCCGGCCCCTCGCATGCAGCCCTTCATTCCTTCACTGGAGGGAGGTGTGTGGCAGGGCTGCTCATCCCTGATAATTAGATACTCTCTCCGTCCCATAATATAAGAACGTTTTTGATACTATACGAGTGTCAAAACGTTCTTATATTAACGTTTTTGATATTACACTAGTGTCAAAAAACGTTTTTAACACTACACTAGTGTCAATAACGTTCTTATATTATGGGACGGAGGAAGTAGATTATAACAGGCCGCCGCCGCAGCACTAACATTAGTAACTAAATCTCCCTCGGACCAGCTCCTCGCTGATGGCTTCCCTGGTGTCCAAGCTCCTCGCCGCACTGGCGGCTGGCAGTCAGACGTGTGGTAAAAGTGGCACCCCCGGTTTCAATCCAATAGTTTTCTCTCTTTGTACAATGTTTCGTCACATGCTTCATATGTTTTATTGTTTTCAAAATATAATCGGAAGCATTCTTAAGTTTGTTTTTGCAATAGTTTCAGTTTTTAGCATCTATTTATACATCTATTTTATTAAGGTTCCCGTCTCCCAGTTCATATTGTTTTTTTTAAGTTTTTGAAATGGAGACAAACGCTTTGCCTTATTATATTAATTAAGGTGTCTTACAGCATAACGAAGGCACAAATGCCATACAAACGGGACTACTCTTGCGGCTCGAAGGATCTCAAGTGCTTAGCACCGGCCAAGCCCGAGAGGGAAGCCTCCAGGGAATGCATGGAGGAGATACCACAGGAGGCACGAGCATTGCTCCGATTACAATATTTCCCCCGAAGTGACCAAGAGAAAGGGCCGCCAAAGTTGCTCATACATCATTCATTCATCGTGTTCCAAGTCTCCACAAGAAGAAGCAGAACAAGTAGCCGCGATGACCCATCTGGCTGTTCAGGATGACTCCGTCGAGTCCAAGGAATCCCTGTGGGCCCTGTACGAGTACTGGTGCAAGCATCACGGCATATCGCGTGACCCCGCTGAGATGCGCCGCCGCTTCAGGACGTTCAGCAGGACGGCGAGGCGTGTGCACCAGATCAACAGTTCTGATGCGACCATCTTCATGTTCATGCTGGACAAGTTTGCGGACCGCACCTTGAAGGAGTTGTCCTGGAGGAGGAGGTTCTCCGCGCATGGAAGTTAAGAAGTTGTACCGTGCGTCGGCGTTTATTTTGTGATGTATCGACTTCAACTCTTTAAACATTTATCATTTAGTAGCTTCAATAATAAAAGCAAGCAATGTTTTCCTTTTTATGCAAAGTTGATCGGTCAGCTTGGCAGACGACAGTTTCAGTTTTTCTTGTCTTCGGGT